GCAACCCACTCCAGTGTTCTTGCCTGGAGAATCCCCATGGACAGAGGAGCCTGGTGGGCTGCAGTCGATGGGGTCACAAAGAGTCAGACATGACTGAGGAACTAAGCATGGCACAGCACATTTGTCTATGTTGAAATAAACATAGACAAATGGTATATATGTCTGTGTGTGCACACGGATGCATATGCTAGTCTGTGTACCTTGAGAGTCTTCCCATCATTTCTTGGGTAGTTAGCTCATTTTCTACTACCACATAAGAATTTCAGCTAGCACACTACTTCCAAGTTTGGGATATATTTTACTTTCGTAAGCACTGTGCCCTTATTTCAATGAACCCACAAACTATTTAACGTTTTCTGTTGATAAAGATTATTTCATAACAGAAATGTTCCTTTGTACATCAGTAAAGGGATGCTCTAATTAAATGCTACTGGCAAGAAAATGATTTAAAAAAACAAACCAAAACAACCAACCACACACACAGGGACACCTACACACATATTCTCCTCAAGTCTCAAAACTCCAAGTTCCCATGAATCACACCGTGTTGATATCTTTGTCATTAATAATGTAGCAAGGACCATAAAATGTTTAACATTTACATTTTCTAGAAATTATCATTGCTTTTCACTTCAGAGTTAGTGACTCAGATGAAGTAAATCTAAGCTTGTTTTCCGATAACCCAATATGTCAAGATGAAAAATTCATTTCAAGGCTTAACTCGAGGTGTGAGTCAGAGAGTGGCTAAGGATGATGTGAAGTGATCCGTTATTAAACAAGAGGGGACCAATCATCAGGAGGATTCTCAACACATGAACTAGAATGAAATGAATCCTTACCTCTGGATTTCAGTGATCACAGTAGTCAAATTTTCTCATGAACACTCATGAACACAAATGGTATTTGCCACAGCTTCAGACAATCTAAAGGAGAGAGAGGGCAAGTGTACATTACCAAGGACAGTCTTGGGGTGAGATGGGGGGCCTCATATTTTGGTAAAATGAAAGCCTCTAGAGGGCGAGGAGTAATTCCATACATTTGTGGAGAATAAGGGCTTTCCTGATAGCTCAGTTGGTAAGGAATCTGCCTGCAATGCGGGAGACCTGAGTTTGATCCCTGAATTGGGAAGATCGCCTAGAGAAGGGAAAGGCTACCCACTCCAGTATTCTGTTCTGGAGAATTCCATGGACTGTATAAACCATGGGGTCACAAAGAGTGGAACACAACTGAGCGACTTTCACTTTTCACTATGGAGAATAAAGCCAAGTTGAAACATCTCTTATAACTTGAATGCAATTAAGAAACAGCATGTGCAGGGGAAAACTTAAAGAGGACTTGTCTTCATGAGAACTTCAAGTAGTTCTCCTTTAAATTTAGTTCAAAATGTACTATAAAGACTTATGGGATTTTTTTCTGCTTGTTGCGTAGATTTATGTATTTAGGAAAAGGCTACCAGGAATATATTCCCAGAAAATGATTTAAGCTCGAGTAAATGATCTGATTTCTGGTCTTTCAAAGGAAATCAACAAAAAAGACTAGGATTCTATGAAATGAGTGGATTTCCCTGGTGAAACCAGCCCCCCATTGCTGCCCTTATCCAGAATGAACCTGTTTCAGACCATAATGGTCTTGTGATTAGTGTGAATGAATGCCCCTCACCACCCTTGTGACTCAACTGGTTAAGAATCTGCCCACAATGCAGGAGACCCCAGTTCGATTCCTGGGTTGGGAAGATCTACTGGAGAAGGGATAGGCTATTCACTCCAGTATTCTTGGGCTTCCCTTGTGGCTCAGCTGGAAAAGATTCCACCTGCAATGTGGGAGATCTAGGTTCGATCCCTGGGCTGGGAAGATCCCCTGGAGAAGGAAAAGGCTACCCATTCCAGTATTCTGGCCTAGAGAATTCCATGGGCTGTATAGTCCATGGAGTCACAAAGAGTCGGACACCACTGAGTGACTTTCACTACACCACATGGATTCACTATTGATTTTTAATTAATGATAATATCTTGTATTTAAATAGTTACCATCCCCAAGGAAATCTGAGTGCTTTATAGTTAATCAATTTCAATTTATCTTCATAGCATCTGGTGGAATGTACAGATTAGGTATTCGAATCACATTTTAAGGAGGAAAAACATAATCAGAAAAGTTAAATTGTTACTTTTGGAGATTTCAGAATGCTAATATTAGAATTATCAATTAAAACCTGGTAGTCTTGACTTATAATTCTGACTGTTTCCCCAAAACATCTGGTCATTTGGGTCAATTCTGATTATTCCTTAGGAAAAAAGGAATCAAACACTTGAATTGCTATGATTGACAAAAGTTTACATTTCTTCTTATTATTTTGGTGGTATATAATAATTGGGTTCAATATTTTTGTTTATGCATTTTTTAGTGGCCTATGTTAGTGTATTTGGAATGCTCTTAAGTCATGTGCATTAGAAGTTTATCTCCTGGTAAGGGATAGATGTTGCAAAGAGTCGTTCATAACATAGCAACTGAACAACAACAGAACGGGATAGATATAAAATTTAAATTCTGATATTAGATAAGTATGATTTTTCAAAGACGAGGTATCTCTATCACCTACCAGCAGTGTCTTAGTTGGCCAAAAAAAAAAAAATCTCCCCAACACAAGCTTGTTCCAGACACTAACTCATTGTCCGTACGGGAGGTCATCATCATTCTTTCAGTCACCCATTCTTCTAGCCTTAAAAATGGGAGCCTGGTGTTTCCCCTTTCTGTGTTTACAATTTCTGTCAGCTTTTCCTCTGGCCCGTTTATTCCTTTGTTTCTCTGTGTTCTGCTGCTGACACTCGGCTCCTCACGTAAATGCGGTAAACTCCTTATTTGTCCCCTCCTTCTGTTGTCTGTTCCTCAACCCCTCTTAGGTCAATTTCCCTAACAAATTTCACATTATTTTTGAAATTATGAATTATTTGGGTGCATAAAAGCATATAGAATAATACATTGAGCATTCACATCCCCACCACCGAGCTTAAAAAAACACGATACTAAAGATACAGTAGAAAGCCCTCTTTGAAGCCTCTCTCCAATTTAATCCCCCATTATCATGAATTTAATGGTCATTATTCCCATGCACGTTTTAACATTTTTACCATGTATATATCCATACCCATAAAAAATGTATGGTATTTCTTCACTCCAATCAATTATATTTCTAAAATTTTCATTTGGTATATGGCTTTGAGATTTCCACTATTGCTTCAAGATTTGTAGTGCATGCGACTTTGCTACCTTCTGTTTCATTGCTATGATCCTTTGGATCACAGTTTATCCATTCTTTTCAGGATGGACATTGAGATTGGTTGTAATTTTTTCCCGCAAATACACACAAACATATAAAACATTTTTAACATGTTTCCTTTTTCATATTGATGAGAGTTTTCTAGGACATGCACCCAAGATTCTAAATGCTGGGAGGTGGTAGGATCTTCTCATTTTCAAATTTTGGTTAGAAGTGATTGTGTCAACTGACACATCCTCCTTATGTGCCATATTCCATTTTAAGAAAGACTTCATTGGCCTCTCCAACTTTCAATGGAATTTCAGATTCCTCTAAGAGAAACTCCTTCTCACTTTTCTATCTGAAGGGCCCTCTCCACCAGGGACTCCTTTTTGTGACGGGTCACAGGTTCCAAAGCTTTTAGACTATACGTTGAAATGTAAATGTGTGGCAAATGCAGGGTGTGCCGGGATCTCGGGTGGACGGTGGAGATGGAGCCGTGCATCAGGGCACCACATGTACAGACGGCCAGTTTGCCGTGCCTGGGGTTCCTGTGTTATCTTGTTTACTTTCCCGAGAGTCTGTCTCAGAAATGTGTGGTCATCCGTTCACTGTATAGCAGCCAGAGCCCTCTGGAGCCCTCCTGCCTGGGTCTGAATCCCTGCTCCAGTGCTGCCACCGTCTGCGCTTGAGCAACTTGTTTGTAAAGTGGGGGACATGCTGGTGCTTGCTTCATAAGGGTGTGGTGAGAACTGAATGAAATGATATAAGTAAAGCCCTCAAAGAAGCAAAGTGAAAGTAAAAGTCGCTCAGTCGTGTCTGACTCTTTGCGACACCATGGACTATACAGTCCATGGGATTCTCCAGGCCAAAATACTGGAATGGGTAACCTTTCCCTTCTCCAGGGGATCGTCCCAATCCAGGGATCGAACCCAGGTCTCCTGCATTGCAGGCAGATTCTTTACCAGCTGAGCCACAAAGGAAGCCCAGAAGCTTTCAAGAAGGTGCTTAACAAGTATTTGTTGAATTGTTGAGGGGAGGAAAAATAGCAGAAGGTTCGCTCATACCTCCTTTGTGTCATCGTTTTAGAAGCTGTGGAGATGGCAGTGAGCTTGACATCTGTTTGACAAATCCAGTTGGCAACACAGACCAAGCCCCTAACACATTGCTTGACTCACAGTGAGCACTCAGGAAATATAAGCCAACTGTATAAATGAACCTAATGCTTTCCTAGTGTTAGTGTCTCTCGGTCGTGTCTGACTCTTTGTGACCCCATGGACTGTAGCCCACCAGGCTTCTCTGTCCATGGAATTCTCCAGGCAAGAATACTCGAGTGGGTTGCCATTCCCTTGTCCAGGGTATCTTCCCGACCCAGGGATCAAACCCAGGTCTCCTGCATTGCATGCTGATTCGTTATTGTCTGAATCACCAGGGAAGCCCTGATGGTTCTCCTAAGGCATCATAAATACTTAAGCATACCCTGAGCCAAAATGAAGCAAGTGGTTTGTACCCAAGACGACCTTACTGTCTGCATGGCAGTAGATTCTAATTTTTGAATATTGACTACACCTGTGTAAGACAGCTAGTAGCTTGCCATTAGACATATTTGAGTAGTCAGAATAGCAATTTGTTTGATGATGCTGAGTAACAGATAATTGACTATTTCCTTAATGTCTTACTTGGATACAAAATAACATTCTCACCTTTTTGATGATGACCAGTCTCCCCCCGGCCCCTTAAATTTCAGGTCTCATTGTCCATGAAGGAGCTGCAGTTTACAGAGTGTTTAAGCGCTGGCGAGCTGTCAACTTACACTGGGATGTATTAAATTATGACAAAGCCACAGACATCGAAGAAAGTAGCCGGGGAGAGTCTTCCACGAGCAGGACTTTATGGTTGCCGTTGACGGCTCTGCGGAACAGGAACTTGGTCCACCCAACCCAGTTGACCTCCCCAAGGTTTCAGTGTGGCTACGTGTTATTACATCTGTTCAATCGAATGAGGGCCCATGAAGATTTGTCAGAAGACAACAGCTCGGGGGAGGTTGTGATGAGAGTGACTTCAGTGTGACAGAGCTGAGAAGGTGCGGTGTGGACCACCCTGCACATTTTGGAATGTAATTGCAATGAATGGCAAAACCATAGCACTTCTAAAAACACACATCTATGAACTTTTTAAAATTTATGCTTTTTATATGAACATTTGAATTGCAAATACATTTTTCTGAAAAAAAGAGTCCTCCTGTTCTTTGCTTTCTAATTTATCACATCTTTTATAAGTTGGTACTTGAAATCATTAAACGTATTATTTAACTCTACTTGGTTAAAAGAATGATAAAAGTTATACTTAAGGTCAAAACTATTTTTTCTTGCTTGTTTTAAATATATTTTTATCAAACGTCTTGCTCCATGTGTAATTTTTCAGGCATGCTACGAATGGGGAAGAATTTAGAATGCTGTGGGAAAATTTCCAAAGTGCCCATCAAGGACAAAGCAAAGCATCCTCTGTGATGCTTGCACTGGTCCTCCTCGTGCTTCCGGCTGGTTGTCAATCTAAGTGTGACTTTTTTGTGTGGGATCAATTAAACTGTCACCAGGAATGCAAGTCTTAGGAATTATGGCTTGTTTTCTAACTTCTAAAATAGTTCAGAGAGCTTATAAAAATACAGATGATTGGAATAAAAATAGTCTTACAGACATACTTCAAAGATACTGCAGGTTCCCCTCCAGACATGCAATAAAGCCAATATCACAACAAAGCAAATCGCTCAAATTTTTTGGTTTCCCAGAGCATATAAAAGTTGTTTACACTGTACTGCAGTGTGTTAAGCGTGCAATAGCATTAGTTCTTAAAAAAAAAAAAAAAACAGTGTACTTACTTTAAAAATCTAAATAGTGCTAGCCATCATCTGAGCCTTCAAGCAATAATAATATCTTCAAAGATCACTGATCCCAGATCACCATAACAAGTATAATAATGGGAAATTTGAAATATTGCAAGAATCACCAAAATATGACACAGATACATGAAGTGAGAAAATACTATTGTGAAAATGGTGCCAATGACTTGCTCCACACAGAGTCACCCTAAACCTTTGATTTGTAAAAAATGCAGTGTCCATAAGGCACAATTTAAAAAAGAAATGGAGTGCAGTAAAACAAGATATGCTTGCACTAGCAGGTTACATAGACAGGGCACCCTGCCTACTTATAACTGAAAAAGCTCACCAAAACGTTGCATCTTGAACATGTAATAATAACACTGCCTCACATTTCCTTAACCCTCTCATAGACCAGCCACAATTATATTTGTTAATTATTATTATCTTGATTTCTGTTGAGTACCATCTTAATTAGATTTTGTTTTTGTGAGAGCTTATATACCTACTTAATCATTTAAACACTAATTCTGTTACTTGGTTTAATGAAGTCCTAGGGAATATATTCTCCAGCAGTGAGAAGTGGTTCTCTTTTACTAGATAAGTATTTTTCAAGAGAAAAGAGGAAAAGAAAAATGAATCTCTTGACTCCCCAGGAACAGGTTGCTAAGTAGAGATACTGGAGATTTTCCACCTTTTTCTCCTCCTCATGGAAGTAAATGGCACATTTTAACAGGTAATGACAGAATAGATGAGGAGGCAGGCGGTCCTGCTTTCATTGGAAACGAGATGAATAGGGTAGGTCATTTGAAGTAACTGATGGTGAGATTTTTAAAGCACATGAAATCAAATGCTTTACATTCTATTTTCTAAAAATAACTTTTGAATGATTCATAATAGAACAGTGAACATTTACAGGTAGCCTTGTGATTCATACAGAGCCAATTCTACTAAAAGTTGAAATAATATTTTCCCAGTTAATAAAAAAGCTGCATCACAAATGAGTTAAAGGGGTGACCATTTGCAGAAACGTGAAGAAAGAATCAGGAAGTCATGAAAGAAGGAAAATTAAACTACTCTTTCAGGACAGATCTAGAAAGTGAGAGGATCTAGGAAGTGTTGACTGTTTGCACCCGATGTTACAGGAGCACACTCCCGGGTGAGGCACCAAAGGGCAGCGATCAGTCCTGTCCCCCTGCTCTCTGCCCTCGGTCTTGCTACCTGGGACAGAAAAGAAGACTGTTTATTTAATAGTGAAACCAGGGGTGCAAACTTGCTGGCAAAGCAGCAATCCATGACTTGTGCCCGCGAGGGTGGGCACTTTAATCACCAAGGGAGTCTTCAATGGCACCACATTTAATGCAATGTGCTCCTGTTTAATTTAATTAAACACACATTTAATTTTGGGTGCTGTTGTTTACAGCATGATGGTAAAAATACTGGATCAAGAGACTGTAAACACAAGTGAGACTATCACTGCTCCACCCTTTGTATTCATACCAACCTTTGTATTCATATCAACTTTCCCTGAAAAGGAGGAGGAGGAGAGGATGGGAGACTGTTTCCGTAACCCTGCATGGAGTGCCAAGGCTGAGGCACCTGGAGATGACAAGGTACAGAGGGTCTGTCAACCGGAAAGGAAGATTCACCCCAGCCTCCCCTCCTTCCCACAGCCTTGCCCTGTGGACACCCATTTTTTCCATACCTTCAACTTCCCTCACCATCTTCACAGGCCCCAACTCCTGACACACTCCCATACCCATACGTGACCCAAATCAATGCTGGAAAAGAATGTGGCAGAATTTCCATTCAACAAAATGTTTGGTCCCTGAAATGATTACATAGAAACTCAAATTACTCTGGGTGGAAGGTGGGGTGGGTGCATTGAGAGAACTGAACTTTCTGTTTCAAAATGAAAATTCGACGGATTTCCCTGGTGGTCCAAGCTTCCACTGCAAGGGAACAAAGACCCCGCATGCCATGTGGGGTGGCCAATAAATAAATAAATAAAAATTCTAATATGCTGTATCAGTTGTGAACTTCCATGATGATTCAGATGGTAAAGAATCCACCTGCAATGCAGGAGACCTGGGTTCAATCCCTGAGTCAGGAAGATCCCCTGGAGAAGGGAATGGCAACCCACTGCAGATATAAACAATTAATTTTCAATTGTGAATGCTGTAATCCAAGCTAAGGCTGTCTTAAATTTCAAAACCACTCATGGTAGAAAAAGTTGGAAATATTTAAAGAGTATTTTTAAATATATATAAATCTAGACCTGTATCCAGTCTGTCTATTTTCAATCAATAATCTGCAATGCAAACATTGATGGGGCACCTTCTGTGTGCCAGACATTGGGAGCCGCAGTTGTGGAATGACCCAGGTTCGCAGGGAGACACACCACATGATATGGGTCAGGGTCCAGGTGAGTGAAAGGCAGTGGCAGGCCACAGGAGCAGTCAGCTTTCCCTGGGGCAACCGAAGAACACACCACTGAGGAACTGGCAGGACCTGGGCACTGAGGCATGAGCAGAAGTTTGCCAATCAGGTAAGTGGAGAAGAACAGCTTGGCGGTAAAACAGAGCATGTCCCAGTAATAGTGAGAGATCTCACATGAGGGAGTGTAGGGTACATCTGAAAAGGTGATACAACCTGTTGATTTGAAAAAAAAAAGCACAACCTGAGACTTTTGAGTTAAGCTTTTGGGGGGCAAAATGAGGACTGCAGTCCAGAAGATAGCACCCCAGATAGCTCTGAGAGGCTCCTCTAAAGAGGTATGGGGCAAGGACAGTATATATGTGATTTTGCTGAAGGGGGAATACATGCAATCAGGGCTTCCCAGGTGGTGACTCAGGGGTAAAGAATCTGTCTGAAATGTGGGATATGAGCAGAAGATGTGGGTTCAATCCCCTGGTTGGGAAGATCCTCTGGAGGAGGAAATGGCAACCCACTCCAGTATTCTTGCCTGGAGAATCCCATGGACAGAGGAGCCTGGTGGGCTACAGTCCATGGGGTTGCAAAGAGTCAGACACAACTGAGTATGCACTATGTACGTGCAATCAAGCACTTTTTTTTTTGGTGGAAAGTTTCTGTTGGTCTGTGAGGCTTCTGCTAGTCATGGAAAAACAGTCACCACTGTGACGGGTGTCAGTGCTTTTCTCTATATGAGGAGACACAAGAATTGGGCTCATAGAACTCATAAAATCAGCTCTTGAGATTATCTATCTGAAGACCCGTCCTGCCAGTTTTCCTGGAGCACAGAGTGCCCCATTTCTTCTCTCCACCCTGAACTCTTTCAGGGGGTGTTGGAGGTCAGCAGCTGCAGCAGCACATGATTCAATCCTTGTGGAGGCAGATGGCAAGCACCCAGGGCAAGTACCAATTTGTGGTTGACAAACCCTATGAGATTTGACTAGGTAGCTGGGACTGAATCCCACGGGGACCAATGAGAACATGGTGCTCAAGCATCAGGGGCTAAAAACCGGCAAGGTCATCTTTGGGGGGATAACTATCCTCTCTTGACCTTGTAATTATGGGTAACACTCCCAGTTCTCAAGATCAGGGGCAAAATGTAATGAATTATGACCCTATCCTCAAGAGAGTTTGGAGACATCCTACATACAGCAGGCAGCAGGCAGGCACTATTGCTATACGTTAGCTACCATAGAAAAACTGGAGCATCAAATAGATTTTCCTCCTCTCTCCCAAAAAAAACAGAAAAACCCTTAATTCTGAAGCGAAGAGCATGCTGAAGCTCTTGTGAAATAGAATATAGTTTCTTTATTATTGATAATTTAGTTCAGTTCTGTCATGCAGTCATGACCAACTCTTTGTAACCTCATGAACTGCAGCACACCAGGCTCCCCTGTCCATCACCAAATCCCGGAGCTTGTTCAAACTCATGTCCATAGAGTCGGTGAAGCCATCCAACCATCTCCTTCTCTGTCATCCCCATCTTCTGCTGCCTTCAATCTTTCCCAGCACCAGGGTCTTTTCTAAGGAGTCAGTTCCTTGCATCAGATGGCCAAAGCATAGGAGTTTCAGCTTCAGCATCAGTCCATCCAGTGAACACCCAGGACTGATCTCCTTTAGGATGGACTGGTTGGATCTCCTTGTAGTCCAAGGGACTCTCAAGAGTCTTCTCCAACACCACAGTACAAAAGTATCAATTCTTCGGCACTCAGCTTTCTTT